GGGGGGTTAAGTTTAGGGGTTAATTTTAGGTTTTGGGTTTACAGCGTGCTTCTGTCTCCGCGCTGTTGTCGCTCTGTTGATGATGTCAGCGACGCGGTTTAGTCGGGCGCGGTTTTGTGGTGGAACCGTTTCAAAAGCATGATGGAATATGAGAGATAAAAAGTTTTAATTATTTTATGTTACCATGAACAAATATCTTGATTTTTTTTGTTCCTCAATATAGTAATGGACAAAGCGGGTAAAGAAAACCAGAGTGGACACTCACACAACAGCAAGGTAAAGTGACCCCTTGTGTTTATTGGGTAGTGTAATTCTTGCCTTTTTAGATTTCAATCTTGCGTTGCCCCTCACAGTCATGTGATCACAATGTGGCTGCTTGTCAATGAGTTTGCATTTACAATCCATTGCAGCATACTGTGCTCACCTGATTGCCATTGGTTGTTGGTTTTGCACTTACGACCATATTATTCACTTAATGAGCACTTGCTTAATTACCCCAGAAGCTGGACTTACGACTTTCATTAAAATGGTTATAAAATCTGGTCTGGTGATATAGTCTGACTCCAATGATTTATGACTGAAATTCTGTTCATAATTGTAGTTGTAAGTTGAAGACTACTTGTATTAAACTTTTGCTATTTTGAACTATGAACTTACAAAACTATAGAGCACCAGTGGTGCCCTAAAGTGGTTTTATGTTGAAAAAAACTCAATCCTGAGAAATTTTGCAACTTCTGTTTTTGCTTAGGTGCTTGAAACTTCAAAGTTGTGTTTTTTTTTTTAAATTAGGTAGTAGATGGTCCAAAGCGGATTCCTATGACTCAAAATCGGGCACTAAGGACTGGAATTCAATCACAGCGTGTTCCTTCTGCTTCAAATGTACCCCAGAGAGTGCCTATTAAGTCTCAGGCACAGAAACCTGCTGTTACCCATCCAAAATGTTCCAACTACACAAGTCAGCAGCGACCAACATCTGCAGTTCAACCAACATCTAGGAACTCCGGTCCAAATAAACCTGGTATAATCTCTCAGCAACCTTCTGCATCTGGTAAGTACTACTATTTCAGTTATTTCTAACTTTATAATAGTAAGCCTGTTTCAGCTATTTCTAATCATCATAGAAAAATCTATTGATGTTATGATACAGGTAGTCCTTGAGTTAAGACCACTAATTCGGTGACTGTTAGTAGCTGAATGAAGGGACTTGCAATTGGTCATGAAATTACTGACATTACAATGACCTCATGGTCACATGATCACTATGCAGTTGGTGATCTATTTCAACTTACAACTGGTTTCTAAGCACTCTACAATCATGGGATCTCCTTTGGAACCTTTCATGATGGCTTCCTTAGAAAGCCAATGGGGAAGCCAACATGGAAGATCACAACTCAATGGAATAAGGCTCTGCCCATGCAGTTCCCCAACTCTTCTGCACTTGTGCCATACTGGCCACTGAAGCACTTCCTGAGCTGCATGATGCCTCTAGACACCTTGCATCCCCTTTCACTTCCCCACTTTCTTTATCACCTGACAGTAGCCACTTGCCTGCCAGGCAGCCTGGGATTTTTAACTTCCTGATGGCTTTCCCAGTGACTGATTCAAGGAAGCAGGTAGGAGGTTATCTCACCTAAAGTCTGTGGCACTCATTCAGTGACAGCAACTGAATCTTCAAGGATTTGCTTTGCTAACCAATGAGATTTTGCTTTACAACTATATCGTTTAGCAATGAAAATTCCAGTCCCAATTATTGTAAGTCAAGGACAAAAAATAAGACTGGGTCTTATATTAATTTTTGCTATAAAAGACACATTAGACCTCATTTTCCAGTTAGGTCTTATTTTCAGGGGAACTTGGTACTAAAATACGTTTGACGATCTTAACTGGGTCTTATTTTGGGAGGTAGTGCTTATATCATACGCATCCAGAAAAAAGGTCATGGTAGGGCTTATTTTCTGGTTGGGTCTTGTTTTCAGGGAAACTTGTATCTATATATGACAATGAGCAAAAATTGGGAAGCTTTAAAACCGTATTGGAAAATATAGTGAGTTGAAATTCAAATGAAAATCATCTGCAAAAATTTGGTCAGTATGGGTTGGTACAGGTAGTCCTCAATGTACCATTTAGTTTAGTGAACTTTTCAAGTTACAGCGTTGCTGAAAAATGTCTGGTCCTTGCACTTAAAACGGTTGCAGTGCCCCTGTTGTCATGCTATCAAAATTTGGGGACTTGGTAAGCAGCCTGTATTTACAATGGTTGCAATATCCAGGGTTCATTTGATCAACATTTGCAACTCTTCCATCTGGCTTTCAACAAAGTCAATGGGAAAAGTTGTAATTGTTTGATGGCCATGTGATTCTCTTAACAAACATAGTACAGGTAGTCCTTGCCTTACAACAGTTGACTTAGTGACTGTTCGAAGTTACAACGACAATGAAAAAAGTGAGGTGACCATTTTTCAGACTTATGACTTGCAGCATCCCAATGATCATGTGATTTACATTCAGATGCTTGACAACTGACTCAGATTTATGAGAGTTTGCAATGTACCGGGAAATGTGATCACCTTTTGCAACCTTTTGCAAAGTCAATGGGGAAACCAGATTCCCTTAACTGTGTTACTAATTTGACAACTGCTTTGATTCACTTAACAATTGTGGCAAGAAAGGTTGTAAAGTGAGGCAAAATCTACCACATTTTTTGGAGTATAAGACACACCTTTTCCCCCCCAAAAGGGGAAAATCTGGGTGCCTTATACTCCGAATGTAGCTTCACCACCTGCTCCGCGCATTGCATTTTTGGGTGGTTCCATGTGGCGGGATCCTCACTTTCACATGGAGCCTGAGTCCGGAAGCAGCCCGGGGAATTGCGTTGAAAGCATTTTCAATGAAAGCGGTTTTGGGCTGTAGTGCCATGATCCCCTCCCCAATTCTAAAAGGGGTGTGCAGAGGCCAAAAAAGTGCATTGTGTTTCAGGTGGCAGGCAGTTCCAGCACGCGCCGCCACCTGAAAATGCTTTCCTTCCCAGTTCCCCCGTGCACAATGCAGAGCCACGTGCCCTCCTCCTCTACAGACTCACCTTCTTTTTTCTTCTGGCCAGCATTGTCATCCAGGGGAGGCAGGGAGAAAAGTGAGAGGGCAGTGCGGGCGGGCGAGGGCGTAGGAGCCAGGCGCGGACACAGGGCCAGCAGATCAGAGGCAGCCAGCTGATTGCTGGCTTGCCGGCTCAGCTGCTGGCAACCTGGAAGGCGCAGGCATCAAAGGAAACCTGTGCAGGGTCTCCACTGCCTCCTGCCTACATGCAATGAGGAGGCCGAGCAGCAGCGAGGAGAGCACAAACCTGAGCTGCGGGAAGAGGCTGCCAGCGATGCTTTCAGGGTGAAGAAATTGTGAGCAGGGAGGGCTTGCCCCCCTCAGGAGCTGCCAAGCATTCACTGCCCCTCTGACACCTGTCAAGCCTCCTCCCACTGCGGACTTGCATTCTCTTTTCAGCTGGCTAGATCTACCGCCTGAAAACGGATCTGACTAGCTGCAAAGAGAATGCGAGTTTGCAGAGGATGAAAGAGGTAAATCTTTCAGGTATTTCCTCCGTTCTGGTCCCCAGAGAAAGCAGCGATGCTGGCGTGGGCGCCGCTCCAGCTAGCAAGCCCCAAGCCCGACTCTCCTCCCTGAAAGCCACAGTCACCTGGGAGGACTCGCTAACTTGGTGCGCCATTTAGACACTGCAGGCCTAAAGTAAGCTCAGCAGCACACGGCCTGGGGGCTGGTCCTGCCTGCTGGGAATGGGGCACAATGGAACTCAGCCGTCAATATGGGGCTGGGAGGGTCCCAGGCAGCCACTTCTTGAAGCCCACTGCCCACTGTGTCGCTACCCCCTCTCCTGGATAACAGCTGACAGGAGAGCAGAGACAAGCGCGCCGGGCAAAATTTCTCCTGCTGTGTCCCAAGTCTAGAAGGTGCCTTCACTACCACCATCCCAACAAGGGAGGGGAGGGGAGAGTCCAGCAGCACCCAGGGCACTTCTTTGGCGCTGGCAGGGATGCTGGGCACCCCATCCCCTGCCCCACCTGCCACCCCCAAATTGTGCCTCACCATGAAATGCGCATCTTAATAGTCTACATCTCTCAGCCGGTCTTCACAGTGAAAATTTTACGCAGTAAAGAAAAACTTCATGAGACCTACTGTATCTTTCTCTCTCTCTCTCTCTCTTCTCTCTCTCTAGCCTTCTACCTACCTACACTCTCTCTCTCTACCTACCTACTGTATTTCTCTCTCTTTCTCTATTCCTTTATCTACTTACCTAACTATTCACTCACTCTCCTGACCTATCTACTGTATTTCTCTCTCTCTCTATTTCTCTCTTTCTCTATCCCTCTACCTACTAAACTACCCACTCTCTCTCTCCCTATCTATCTACTGTATTTCTCTATTTCTCTCTCCCTCTACCTATCTACACTCTCTCTCTAGCCCTTTACCTACCTACCTACCTACTTAACTACTCTCTCTCTCCCTACCTATCTACTATATTTATCTCTTTCTATTTCTCTCCCTCTACCTACCTACACTCTCTCTATTTCTCTCTCTCTCTATCCCTTTACCTATACCTATCTACTCTGTCCCTCCCTACCTACTGTACTTCTCTCCCTTTCTATCCCTCTATCTACCTACCTACTTTTTTAAAAAAAAAATTGCCTCTTCAAAACCTTGGTGCATCTTATACTCCAAAAAATACGGGTAAATACTGAAAGGGGAACAACTTATTTAGAAAAAGTAAGACATCTCAAGTACATCCATATGTAATACAATTCTATCAATTCTTTCTCACCCAAGGGTAGCCCTTGGACACACATAGATGATCCATACTTGATTTAATGCAAGATGCTATCTTCTAAATATAGAGTACTTCCTTCATATATCTAGAGCAGATGGAATATCTTAAATATGACGGGCGGGCTAGCAAGAAACCTTTAATTACTTAGAAGCCATGAGTCATATTTAAAATATTCCATCTGCTCTAGATATTCACCCAGAGCTATTGTGATTATGATGCTACATATTTTCTAAAGATAAGTAGAATAGAGAGGAAATTGCCAGCAAGAGTTAATTTTAAAAGTGTTCGTCCTTACATAAAGAGTGTGTGTGTGTGTGTGCGCGCGCGCGCGTGTGCGTGTGTGTGAGATAGCAACAACCAGCAATTTTCAATATCTTCTTGGTCACAAGATTTGCTTAGCAAGTATATTTCTAGAATGGATTGCTGTGACTAAACACAAAGAAATCATACATCTTTAATTTCTGCATCATCTATGAAGTATGCACTCCAAACCTGCCACGGAGAAGAACAATTAAAACAATCTGCTGAACTTTTTAACTTCAGAGCTTGCTTTAACTTTCTTATGCCCAGGAAAAAAGCCTGAAACTGAAGATGTATCAGCTGTAACAACTGAGGCAAAAGGAGCTTCCGATTCAAAAAGTGAGAGCAAAGGAGCATCAAAAAGTGAAACTAAAAGGTAAGTTCTTATTTTGTTTTTGTGGCTGAATATATTCAAAGCTGTGTACACTTCTTATGTGGAAATTCAGATGATTCCAAGTCTGTAAGCCTTCTGTAAAGGATTGAAGACTTGGCTGTTTCCCTAGACCTGTGATGGTAAACCTATGGCACGTGTGCCAGAGGTGGCACCCAGAGCCCTCTATGCTGGCACGGGCACCGTCGTCTCAAGTCAGATCTCTGTTGTGTTTCTTTTGTGAGCTTTGGTTTCCCTGTAAACGACGAAATAGAAGCTCGTGGAAGAAAAAGGTTTTACTCTTGCCAGCTACCGGTGTTGGGATGCCCTGCCTCCCACCAGCCAGCTGGTCTTCGGGTGTCTGCTGTGCATGCGCGCATGTATTCATGTGTGCATGTTTGCGCATGAACGCATTTGCACACATACACCTTTCAGTTTGGGCATGGACGCATGCAATTTGGGCAGTCGGATAAAAGGTTGACCATCACTGCCCAAAGCTTTTGAGTCAGCTGGTTCAATGAGGTCTGCTCTTACTAATGTGTATGTATAATTTTTTTCACTTGTCAGTGGGGTTCTTATCCTTGGGCACCTGTGATTTTATGTAGTGGGTTTTATTGTATTATTTTTCAAATCAGATTATTTGCACACCCATAGAAATTTATGTAAATTGAGTCTTACCAAAAATTTTCTTCTATATTCCTTAGGAAACAAAGTTCTTTTAGCTATCCCCCTGTGCCTCTAAGCTATCCCCAGAAAAAGTTTATTCTTTATAAGGATTTCCTATACAAATTGCAAGTTTTGAGGAGCGAGCAAAGTGTTCTTATTTCATGTTTTAATGTTTTATTTCTTTAAAAAATAGAAAACAGTGGTTCCTGGAAGACTTTGAAATTGGCCGTCCTTTGGGAAAAGGAAAATTTGGAAATGTGTACCTGGCTCGAGAGAAACGGAGCAAATTTATCTTGGCACTGAAGGTCTTGTTTAAAGCACAATTGGAAAAAGCAGGTGTAGAACATCAGCTGCGGCGAGAAGTAGAAATACAGTCTCATCTTCGGTACGGTTGAATAAAAATACAGAGTGGTAACCTGGAGACCATATACAGCAAACAAGGCTGCCAAAATAGGACAGTAAAAGAGTAAACATTCAGTAGTACAACTATTGTTCCAAATAATAGGTAAAAGTCAGAAGTGGAGATCTCTGGGAAAGGATTCTAATTCTTCGCTTTCTCTTACCCACATAGAGATGGCTTTGGAGGGTCGTCTTTGATATATTTATCAGGTTTTGAAAGTAGGAATAAAAAGTAAAGGCCTTTAGGAGGCCAGCTGCTTTCATTCCTAGATCATCTCAAAGGCTCTAAGTTACCCTGAAAAGTGGCCATTTTTGACCACTGGAGAAGGTGAATAGAATATCTAGTTTTCCAGAGGTTTTTTATCTTGTTAAAACCTTTTCAAATAGTTGGAAAAAAGCTTGATCCAATTTTTTCTAGTGACATATTGAACAGCTTGCTTGGCTTCAGCCTCTCAATGTTGTTTATCACTTGTATATAATAAGGAGGGAGTTATAGATGTGTTTAGCTGATTAATAGTAACAGTCTTGTTTAAAAATCCATATGCCTCCTTTTGTAGACATCCCAATATTCTCCGGCTGTATGGTTACTTCCATGATGCAACAAGAGTGTACTTAATTTTGGAACATGCACCTCGTGGAGAAGTGTATAAAGAACTTCAGAAGCTTAAAAAGTTTGATGAGCAACGAACAGCTACTGTACGGTTTGCAAATGGCAATGCATGCTTTTTGTATGAAATACTAAGGCTATCCCCGCCTTTTTGGGGTGGGAGGGAAATGGGTGGTCTACTATGGTTATTCCTCTAGCAATTTTAATCTGAGAATACTGAATAGCTTTGCTTTAAGAGAGTTTTTTTTTTTTTTAAAGTCATTTTGAATTTTTCAAATAGGTAGTAAAGTTCATAGCTTCTACCTCTGAAGCAGATCACCACTAAGAGGCCAAGTGGGAGAACTTCACTGAAGCTGTTTTGCAAATAAAGGGAAATATAAGTTTCTCAGGATAATGTTGCAGGGTCCAATCTGAATCGGTCACTGGGACCAGGATTTATTCTTCCAATTGTTTGGACTCATTGCTGGAGCCCATTCTCTCTCAGCAGAATGTGTGCCCGTTTTGTTTAAAACTTCTGAAATTAACAGGGAAAACATAACTAATTTAAAGGTGCTCAGTTTTCATAAAAGAGAATGGAAGTTCAAAACAAAATGGCTATTCATTGTATTTAAATTATGGTGAATTGATCTGGTACCCTGTAAAATGTTTTGGGTTAGAAGTTGATTCAAGATTTTTGAGCCATTTTGTATTTTTTTTCCCCCCCCCCGGCTTTGATATTTGGGCAACTTTTCAGGCTCATTCTCTGCATTTGCAATTAATTGGCAATCCTATTGCTGTTTTCAATGTAAACCTCATTATTTTCATGTAATGATGGGAATACTACTGTATGATTTTGTTGCAACTGTTTCCATTGATCATTGATTTGTATATATGAAAAGGGAGGACTGCTTTGCTTGTCCTTTTATGGCATAGTTAAGAGATTTTTTCTCAGTGAGAAAAAATGGGTTTCTAAAAATGTATTTGTTTTTAAAATGCTCTTTAGGCTTTGGAACATTGAAAATGAAAATACAATTTTGGAAACTTGGTATTTTTTGAAAGTCTCTTAAAAATTAGCGAAAGAAAAAAACAGGCAACCTGTCTACAAAGAACTTGAGTTAATGGGCTGTTCCCACCCACCATGTGAAAGTAGCAATGACTGGAGGAGTGGAATAATACTAACTTGTTGACCCATTTTCAGTACTTTAAGAGAACAGATATTACTCTTTCAGAAACTGCTTGTCTGTCAAAGATTCTAGAAGTGCATTCCAGGCGTACATGTATCCTAGTCATTGATAGAACATTCAATATCGCAGAAGTCTTCAATGTACTTCTATGGTCTCGTCAAATTTTGTTTAATGTGCTAACACATGTTTGCCAGAAAAATGCAAAATAAGTATATCAATTTATTTTTATTTTTTGGGGACAAAGTTATAAAACTTTTGGCCAATGATTAAGCATGAGAAACCACAGTAATTTTTGGAGCAGGTTTGCTTTGCATTAAAGCAAACTTCTGTAATTAAGCTAATACAGGCTAGTGACATTTTAGGTATCTGACTACTTAGAGGATAATGAGATCCATAATGACTAAGTGAAACTTTACATTTCATAGTAGAGACTTGCTGTTTAGCCCAATAATGCAGTAGTTTTTCCTGTTCTTTTTCATAGTTTTTTTAAATCATTGTCTTTTTTTAAATCATTGTGGCTATAATAGTATAACATGAATAAATGCTCATATCTGCTTAAATTGCATTATTTGACATTGTTAAGCCTTATTTGCAAATGTTGGTTTCTTCTACAGTATATGACTGAACTCGCAGATGCATTGTTATATTGTCATTCAAAAAGAGTAATTCATAGGGACATCAAACCTGAAAACTTGTTGCTGGGATCAAATGGAGAGCTCAAGATTGCTGACTTTGGATGGTCAGTGCATGCCCCATCTTCTAGGTAGGAGACTCTCTAATACTCAAGTTTGAGAGTATAATTGGCTTAGAATTATTTGAACATACAATGTACTTTTCCAGAAGTAGTAAAATTTACAAAAAATGGTTAAATAACTGATTCTTTCTGGTGAGGATAGAACACTTAATTGAAAATCTGTTTAAAGTAGGGTTCGCGCTATAATACTGGCAACCATGTTTTCCAGGAGAATACCAAAGTAAATTGGCAAGAGTCTGTTTGGTGTGGTGGTTAAGGCATCAGGGTAGAAATCTATTCAGTGGCTTTAGAATTTCAGAGTTGTTACTGTGAGGAGCATCTCAGAATATATATATTTGAAATATTGAGTATAACCATCTAAAGAAAATCATGTAATGAATATATAAGAAAATGGAACATTTTAACTCAGAATTCAAACCAAAATATCACACCAACAATTCTAGCTGGTTATGAATGATAAATCAGCAGCAAGATAGTTATGAATGCAATAAACAAGATAATACTGATAAGATCCTAGAATCCACAAAGAAGGTAGATGGGAAAGGAGATCCAATAAAAAGGAAGTAAGGATGATATGTAGAGAAGTGTGAGTAGTGGAGGGCTTCATGTTCTACAAAGGAACTTGGAATTTGAGTTTGAGAAAGGAATGCTTTTTGTGACATCCAAAAAATGTCAAGTACTTTGTAATAGAGACAGCAGAAAGATTTAGGATTAGGTAATATTCATAAATAAAATGTCTTAAAACATAGTGTTAATAAGCAGTGTAGCTTATTATTTATTAGTATTAGTATCTATTGTGGTTTTTAGATAAATAACACGATTTGCTGACTGCTCTATACTTTGCTATCCTAGGAGGTCAACAATATGTGGCACCCTTGATTACTTACCACCTGAAATGATTGAAGGGAGGACACATGATGAAACAGTGGACCTGTGGAGTCTTGGTGTCTTATGTTATGAATTTTTAGTAGGAAAGCCTCCTTTTGAAGCAGAAACTTATCAGGATACATATAGAGCCATTTCAAGGGTAAGTTGAATTTATTTGGCTTGATGTATCCTATATTTTTGTTTTCTTGTAATCCATGACTCACACTATAGGAGTAACCTTTCAGATTTTGAGAAGCCTAAAACTGCCTTAAACTATCCCCTGATGTTATTCATGGATTAGAATTTTTAAGCATATTAGTACCTTTTTGTCAGCTGGCAAATTCGGGTTTGGTTCCTGCACTAGTAACAATTATTTGGATAATGTCTTACATTGATATGCTACTGCCAAACTAATTGTTATTTTCCACCTGGACTCTACAATGGGAAGAAGTGAATGCAGTGCTTTGTGTGTAACTGTAATTTTTTTTGGTTTAAAGGTGGAGTACAGATTTCCTCCTTTTGTAACAGAGGGCGCTCAGGATCTGATTTCAAAGCTCTTGAAGCATGACCCAAAGCAGAGATTACTACTGGAAAGTGTGCTTAAACATCCATGGGTTACATCAAACTCTACTAAACCTCCCAAGCATAACATGGTGGAAACCACTGTTGCTAATAAAACTCAGTCATAGCATAATAAGCATTGCTGACTGCATTTCCCAAGTAGCAGGGATGGCAACAAATTATAAGACACTTGATACAGGAAGCATAGAATTGGTCTCAAAAAAGAAGTCAACGTTTCCTGCGCAACGAATCTCTATGAACACGATGAAGTCTGAGCTGCAGTTTTCACAGGCATGCTGCAATACTTGTAGTTCCATTCAGAGCAGTTTGTGGATATCTGGAACACATACTTGAACACTGTGCATGTGATTCAAAGCTGCTGGGGCACATCTTGTTCAGGACTTTCTCAGATACATAGCTCCTATTCGGTTGATCCTCCTTGCTGCTTGATAACCACATGAAATTGTTGGAACGGTGCAATAACACCAAGGTTAACCTGTGCAGTGATGTGACATGGACGGCATCTGCTTCTGTAAATATGAGCTACTTGTGCAGTCATTGTCCTGTCTTCAGTTAGGAAATTCTTTGAAGTCTAAAGACTTTATAAGTAATAACCCAATGCTTTCAGACTTGTTGTTTTTGGATAATACCTAACTACTTTATTTAGTGGTCAGAGATAGCCTACTTCCTAGGATATCCTCGATAGTAATTGGTCAATGTAAGTTCTTACAAGAAAAACGGCATAAACTACTTTTGATCATCAATTTTTAAATAATGTATTTGTTTAAGCACTAGTAAAACTTTATCACAAAATCATGATGGTTCTGCAGCACTTATACTTGCATCTAATGGTACTTCACATTTAGAATTTACATTTATCCAAGTGTATTTCAAGCTACCTCCAAGTGTATTTCTGTCAACCCTGAAAGGGTGTATTCTGAGAACCTGTACAGTTCAGATAAACTGAAGTATGTTGGATCCTGAAAATACAAGCCCTCTTTTGGCATGTAGTGATTCCAGGCAATTCTCAGAGTTATCCTGGGGTTATGATGAAAATTGGTACCAAGATTGCTGAAGCTGACGAAAGCGGGCCTAAAAGTGTAATTTTGTGTGACAGCATCGTTTTGTGATGGCAATTCCAGTACACCCTGACTGTGTGGGTTATTAAGCAGGGAGATGTGGGAGTGTGTGGTTTTTGTAGCCTCTGGAAGCTTCTGACTACAATGGTTACAAATCAACAGCAGCCATTTTGCAGTAGGAAATATAAACACTATAAATTGGCACAATACCATTTAAAGAACCAAACAAAGAAACATTCCATATCAAACCATACCAAACTCAAGAAAAATTGTGAATTCTAGCTTCTAATTGCCCTCTCCCATATTCTCAAATTGGCTACCTGCCCTATTATGTATGCTAATACTATTATCCACTGTCATTAAATTACTTAACCATTTCACTGTTTGGAAATCCCCCCCTCCCCCCAAATGCCTGTAAACAATTAGCCAGTGTCCGATACAGGTACTCCTTGACTGGTCGTTTACTGAGTGAAGTAACTATAAACCCTGAAAAAGGGACTTAAGACTCAGTTTTAAAGTTTTGACACCCCCCCCCCCCCAGTCACATAAGAATGTTTTCAGCACTCAGCAACTGGTCTACATTTACTACTGTTCACAGCACCTTGCAGCAATATAACTGATTTATGGTTCCCCCCCCCCCTTGAAAACAAGCATTTCTAGTTTCAAGAAAAACACCCCAAAAGAAAAATGAGTTCATTTAACAACTGCAGCATTTGCTTAATGAAGACTTTTTTAAAAGGTTGATAAATCAAGTTCAGTCACGTGACAACTTGCTTTAGAACCAACAACATCACCAAAATTGTAGATTCAGTTATGGTGGAAAAATCAAGGCCTACCTGTAGTTCATACGAACTAAAAACTAGTTGTTACAATGCTATCCTTGGGAATTCAAGAAATATAACTCCTTAGAATCGAGTACCATACTTACTCATGGACATATTTGTTTCTAATCTCATTTAAAATTGCTTTAACTTTTACAAAATCCCTGCGTGAAAGGAAACAAGATTTAGTAATCTGCATCCTAAATTCAATATGCTTATTTAAAAGATGAGTTTGCAGAGAATGTGGAAGGCTTAGAATCAGAACTGAAAAGACCATTCAGTCTATATAACGTAGAGTTTTATTCAGTTCAGGAATCAAAATATGCTTGAAAGCATCCCAGAAAAAGGAAATCCCAAATTTGGTTTCATTGTCAAATTGTTCGTAGGAAGTGTTTTTAGTCCTCAACTTGAACCTGCCTTCTGGTCATTTATGCCTGTTCTTCAACATCCTCCACCATGGGACAATCCTGAATAGGCCCATTGTTTAAAAAGTCTTCCTACTCCATAGAGATAACATGTTCTAGTGGTGTAATCTGACATCTTTATCAGCGTACCAAATCCGTAATTCTTCAGGGCCTCAGTAAGCATGTAGCTGAGCAACATAGACAGCAGTCTTTTCAAAGTAGTTACTAATTTCAGACAAAGCACATTCCCATCCTTTTGGGGAGATTGCAAACAGAAAAGCCAGAGTGCATGAGCTATCGAAAGTTTCTAAGAAGAAAAGATGGAGCGGCCTTTTTAATTCCAGGGAATAATTTCAAGGGTTTGGAGCCGGAGGCTTGAAAAATCCTATCTTCCGAAAATAGCGAACAAGAAAGGGCACCGAAATGACGGTGATGCTGATCCGGACCGGAGCAAACAGTTTGTGAATAGCGTAGGCCAATACAAAAGTGCTTGTTCCAGCAGCTAGCTTGGATCGCACAAGGGCTTCATTAAATCCCAGCTTGAAGAGAATAGTGGTCATGTCTACTCCGCTAAAAGGGAGAAGAGAAGAGAAACAAATGATACATTAATAGCATGAAAGTGAATGATTTTGATAGTTCTTTCTTTTACAAAAGAACTTTGTACAGGTACTCCTCAACCTAACTGTTTCGTTAGTGATTGTCCAAAGTTTACAATGAAATTTGAAAAAACTGCTAAGTTGTAATGCACTTATGACTACAACCCATGGTCCTATAATTAAAATTTGGATACTTGGCAACAAGGCATGTACCATGTTTCCCTGAAAATAAGACAGGGTCTTATTTTCTTTTGACCTCCGAAATAAGCGCTTGGCCTTGTTTTCAGGGAGGTCTTATTTTTGAGGTGCAGGAGGCAGTGAGTGTGATCACCTCATGGCTGCTGCTATGTTGCAATATTTTCTGGGAGGCCTTATTTTGTGGGGAGGGATTATTTTAGTGCATGCGCTGAAAAGCCCGATTGGGCTTATTGTCCAGGGAGGTTTTATTTTCAGGCAACTTATAAAGGTTGCAGCATTCTGGGATCATGTGATCATTATTTACAACCTTCCTGGCTGGCTTTGACCAGCAAAGTCAATGGATTCACTTAATGACTCTGATTCACTTAACAACTGGAGTAATTCATCTACCAACCATAAAGATCAAAAAGCAAAAAAAGATCATAAAATCAGGCATGACTCGCTGTATAACCACTTTGCTTAGCAACAAAAATTCCATTCTCAATTGTGGTTGTAAAGGAAATCTTGGCTCTGTTCATGTTCATTCAATCGGAAACAAGCAATAGCAATAGCAGTAGACTTATATACCGCTTCATAGGGCTTTCAGCCCTCTCTTTGTAGGTATGGGAGAAAACTATAGAAGTATCCGGTGCAGCCCTCAGGCCTGGATTCCAAGGTTCACATGACTACAGGTAAGCTAGAGTGAGTCTCATCTTTATTTTTCTATACCTACTTGGAGAAATAGGTGAGATAAGTCTGTTCTGTGATTCAATTGTGGGACTTGGTGTCTTGGTTTGTTAAATAACCTGAATGAGAAGAAAACTGGTGCTGTGGAGTAGTGTGCCACGTTTCAAAGAACTGAACTCAGCCACTCAATCTAACTAGAAGTCTTTTTCAGTCTCAGCAACTGAGGCATTCTGGGTATTGTAGTCCACACATCTTATCTTAGGAGCTGCCATAAAGAAAAGGGAGTCAAACTATTCTCCAAAGCACCTGAGGGTAGAACAAGAAGCAATGGGTGGAAACTAATCAAGGAGAAAAGCACCCTAGGACTGAGGAAAAATTTCCTGACAGTTAGAACAATTAATCTGTTTGAACACTTAATCAGTGGAACAACTGGCCTCCAGGAGTTGTGAATGCTCCAACACTGGACATTTCTAAGAAGAGGTTGGATAACCATTTGTCTGAAATGGTGTAGGGTTTCCTGCCTAAGCAGGGGGTTGGACTAGAAGACCTCCAAGGTCCCTTCCAACTCATTCTATTCTATTGTAAAGTTTCTGAGATTGGAAAATATTCCTCTAGAGCCTTCTGTGAGTCACCTACAAGACCAAGGCCAGGGCTGCAGAGATAAGTATTATGTTTGTAGTCGTTATTATCATTACTAATTTGAATTTATTAGCTACCCAACTCCAACGGTCCTTACCAAAGGCAGAAGTTAAATGATTTTGGTCTGAGTTACTACTGTAAAGGGGTGGACAAAACTGGTTTTGGTTAAAAATCCTTCCAATTAGCTGGTTCTGGCTTGTGCTACAGGCTATACAAAGGCTGTCCAATCTGGTAGCATTTGTGGATGGAAGAGAAAACAGGATTCTCAATAGCCGGAAGTAATTTCCGGAAGTAATTTGGAGCTGCCCAAAGTTCAATGTTTAAGATTATTGGAAGCAAGCTCACTGAATCTTTTGGCATGGCCCAACTTTAAGAGATGGTATGGAGAAAAATCAAAGTTTATGTGGCACCTTCATACAGATAGTCCTTAACTTACAAAAGTTCATTTAGTGACTGTTCAAAGTTAAAACAGCACTTTAAAAAAAGGTGACATGACCATTTTTCACAGTTACAACTTTTGTAGCATCCCCATGGTCATGTGATCAAAATCCAGGTGTTTGGTTCATATTTATGATAGTTGCTGTGTCCTGGGGTCATGTGATCACCTTTTGTGACCTGATAAGCAAAGTCAATCGGATAATCTGATTCACAAAACAACTGGATTACTAACTTAACTGCAGTGATTCGCTTAACAACTGTGGCAAGAAATGTCGTAAGATGGGGCAAAATTCACTTAACAAATGTGTTGCATAACAAAAGAAATGTAAGGCTCAATTATTGCCATAAGTTGAGGATGACCTGTATACTGAAGGTAAAATTCAGCTTATCAGTTTTTAAATGAAAACAAGATCTCTCATTTTCTCTTTGTAAATGCGGGAAGATCAGAAAGGGAGAACACCTAAACCTGATTTGCAGTATAGTGATCAAACTTCCAGCGCACCAATAACAGCAACAATAATAATGCTTACCTTGACACAATGAGATAAAACATTCCCAGAGATACCAAAGAAATCCCAATATGAAACGTTACTCCAACAGCTCCGTATTCCTTAAAAATTTTCTTCAACTGATGTGATTTATTTGGTTTCTTCCCATTTCCCTGGCTGGGATCTGTGGGATTTTCTGGAGATGTACCTGTAGTCTGAATATTGGTGGTAAGTAAGGGAGAGAGATTGTTATTACCATACAAATAAGCCATTTTGTTTGTAGAGTAAAACTTTTATTTTGAAGCATGTTTATTTCATCATTTGGATCCTGTAATTTATGGTGCCGTTTATGCAAACATGATATTACAAACCGGTGGTATGTAACAGTTGGCCCCTTTACCCTGTCTGTAGCATTCCTGTTTGTCATATACTGGCTGTTAAAACTGAGTTGACATAAATGGTCATTATTAGCTCCTATCAGCAAATATCAATCAGCATTACAAATGGTCCTCATTTATAGTGACTACCTTGTTTAGCAACTCTTTTGAGTTACAATGGTTATGAAAAACTAACGACAACCAGTCCTTCCACGTACAACATTTGCAGGTCTATAAAGCCAAAGGAAAACTGAAGGAAGATCACAAGCACAGTTGTGGATCACTTAGCAATTATTTTGGTTACTGACCAAGTTGCCAGTCCCTATTATGATCGCTAAATGAGAATCTAACTGTATTTGGAATCTGCCTGAAAGCAGGAGTAGCCATGGTTGCAGAGTGGGGATATATTTCTAGTATTTCTTCCCCTTGGTTAAGGATTCTCTTTTTTCTCTTTGGGGTTTTCCTTCATTTTTGTATAAAATCTATTTGAGAGCTAGCACTTCAACATGATAGGAAAATTACACCAATTGGGTGGCAATGACCTTCAGAAAGATTGCTGTGAAAGGATACAAGTAGAGATTTAAGGTCATAGAAAGCAATATTTTGCCTACTCCAATTGAGGTATTTAAGGAGTTGTTGGTGTTCACTTCCCAAACTCATTGATTGCTAGTTTAACTCATTTTTGTGTTGATTTGAGAAGTTAATTTGCTTTATTCTATTTTTATAATTTTGTAACTCATCCGCAAAAGCTTGGCTTCTATAGGAAGTCCTTGACTTATGATCACAATGAAGCCCAAAATGTATGTTCCTAAGTGAAACATTTGTGAAGTTTGCCCCATTTTATACAAAGGTACAGACTATGTACCTTTGTAAATGTATTCCCTCTGCATGTACTCTGCATGTACTAGGTCTAGATCGAGGTTGTCATAAACTTGATTTCATTGAGGGCCCCATTAGGGTTGTGTTTGACTTTGGAGGACCAGGTGTTTGGGGGGGGGCATGGCCAGGGTAGGCATGGCTTGGATGGGCGTGGCCATGGTGGGCATGACAAAGGACTGCACCTCTGCACATGGTTTTAGACAATTATAAAAAATAGAGAGGCATACATTTGTGTTTTTGTTTTTTTTAAGTATATTTGATCTACTTGATCACCCTATGAAAGAGATCAGATCAAGAAACTGACCCCATAGGAAGACTGGAACTATAAATTATTGACATAGGCTATATTAGCAGAATCCTGCAAGCGTGAAAGGTAAAATATTTTAACTTCCTGCCTTTTATAACCTAAGTCAAGGATAGTCACCTGCAGCACTCTGGTAGCCAAAACGGGGCACGGGTGGGCCATGTGCAGTCCCACCACACCCCGTTTTGGCTGCCAGAGTGTTGCAGTGCGGCGTTGTTGCCACACTGGAGGGCCGCTCATGTGTCCTTGGCCAAATTGAAAGGAAAACACCAGACAGAATTCCTTGGGATGAGCTAAGCCTCGAGTGAACATCGAAGGTCTCTTTTATTAGAAAAGTTAGTTACAGCGTCATCAAAAAGGAGCATATCAAAAGGCAT